ATATTAGAAAAAAGTTTATCATATGGAACTAACCAACGAGATTCAATAGATGCATGTGCTTGATATTTTTCATTTAATGTATCGATTTCACCTAGATTAATATGAAATAAATTATGCTGAATATATTTCTTAAATACAATACCTATTCGAAGAAATACAAGGCGAACATGAACAATAGTCGTTTTGTCTGCTTGTAATGAAGTCATATTCGCAAAATAAAAAGAGAATCTATGTATATCGATGGTTAAAAGGATTTGATCGAATCTAATATTCTTTTACTAATCCTTGATATCCGATATATATATAAATATTTGTTATTGATCTTTTCTGCGTAGGTGTGACGATTTACTGTTTTTTTATATGGATGTGTGTTGATAAGCAGTCAGTGAAAGAAATATCAATATTTTCAGTGTAATTTAATACAAAAAAAAATAAAATCTTTCTATTGACATGTGATGAATAATATAAGATGGATGTGTGGTTTATTTTTTAAAATATATGAAATCTTTTAAAACAGTCTTCCAACAACATATTTACATCTTCTAATAGCTTAATTGTCATTTAATGTTATTCAACAATGAAAATGTTTTGCTGTAAGATGAAGAAATATTGATGATCTTCATCTACCTTTTATTCATGAATAATAATAGACAAGGGGTAGATGTAATTTCAAGTGACATTCAGCATTGCTCATATTTTGCTAAAAAGAAACAGCCAAAGTTTTAGAATCATGAAATAATAAAAATAAAGCAAACAGTGATCAAAAGGAAAACCAAAATGGTACTCTATTGCTGAACCAATATAGTGTCATAATCTGGTAGTGAAATTGTATCATCAGTCTTTGATTTTATCAATTTTTCGATAAGTCGCATAACGGTGGGTCTAGCTACAAAGCTCAACGCGGCATTTCTGAACCTAATTCCCGTAAGGGTTTCCGGAGAGCGAATACGAGTAGTCTCTGGAAATATTTTCTGAGCTTTGGTAACATATAGACGCATTAGAGTTTCATATTGCTTGAATGCCTCCTTATGATCTCGATCACGTCCAATCTCGCCGGAAAGGATGTAAGCGCCAACAAGGGCCAGAGTCGTCCCCATACCGGTGAGGATGAGGGTGTGAGTGCGAGTCAAGAGAAGAATCACCCATTTACAGCTACAAACAGAAGAAATGAAAGGTCTAATAAATGGGAAAAGTCGTCATGTAAAAATTGAATTAACTACTCAAGATGAATATATACAAATTCTAAGCAGCGGGATTATAGGCATCAATGGAAAAATAATCGAAATAGCTGAATTTCTTGCACCTTCACGAATACTCATATGAGTAAAATGTAATACACCTGAACATTTGAACAAAGACTGTAAAAGCAAATTTGATGTACATCGTAGATACGAAAACGACAAAAAAAGAAGATGAATATACCGAATGCGATACCAAATGTCATCATTGCAGTGATCAACATGAATCAACAGTACTATTCGTTACTATTTCAAGAAAACTACTTTTTATAGCGAGAATTCGATCAACACCAAACAACAAGATCACAAGAAGAAAACTTTTTGAATATATCAGTTTTGAAAATCAACAGCTGTAGGTCAATAGAAAGATTACAACATTTTGCAGTTTTTTTATCAAAAGGTATTAATAACTACAAACAATCAGTATATGCACTTTGCAAAAACAAAACAAGATAAAATCTATAAGAGTGCTGACAAATATCTTTTTTTAAAGACAATTAAAATTACACAATTCACGACAAACCAAAGTATAGATAAAACTGTATTGTACTAGATTTTTATAATATCAACTTAAAATAATATAGTTCTTGTTATCATATTTATTACTATTGAATAAATCTCAAAGAAGACAGATATAAATTTTAAAAAAGTAGATTCGTTGAAACCTCTAACGATATATATATGGATTAGTATTTTGATGACACCTAAGATCTACATGATTTATTTTAATTTTAATTGTTTTATTCAAAATAATATGAAGTGTGTATGGTTTAGCAATCCTCACTTTCGATGCCTTAGACGAAATATCGTCTTTGAGGCAAATGTTACAAAAAAAGCTATATATATATGTTAGTTTTAGCTGTGAAATAAAAAAAGAGCCACAGAATTAAATTACAGAAAAAAAAGAGAAAAAGTAAGACAACACACAGAAATGAACAAATAAAGAAGAAACGAACAACAACAAATTGATGAGAATGAACAGAGATCAGTTAGTAGCATAGTACATGATCAAATAAAGGTACTTTATGAACATTTAACAAACCTAAAAGTTTTTTACTTGTTCTTCCACGTTTGACAGTTGATCTTTTTTCTTTTAGTAAAGTTCAATAAAGATCTGTATGATTTCGATAGTGCAGTTTATCACAAAAAATTGTGAGTCCTTCTAACTTTTGTCTTGTAGACAAAGTTATATATTTGTATAACAGATTCACATCCAAATAATTGATAAATATTGCAGACAAATCCGTAATTGTAAGCTGCTGCTACGATGCAATATACGTTTGTATTGTAATGAATTTAATGTTTTACATCGAAGATAAAATCGAAATTGTTATCATCAGTGTTTGTTGAGGAATGTTCATGATATCTTCTACTCTTATACCTAGATGTAGCAGAGCATCCTACTTTGACGTCACGAATAAATCTATCGATGCTAGGAATAGATATGATTTTTATTGCATAAACTCTTCGTGTTGATTTTTGATGTCCATCCAGAACAATGGTAGCAAAGCATGGTTCTTTGCAATATATATATAGTAGCCTTTTTTACCCCATTTTATAGTAAATAAATCGCTAATATCTGGGAATATATCGAGAAGCGTCGTCTGTAAATCTTGCTGATCCGAAGGAACATACTAAAATTTTCGCTCGCACGAAGATGTCCGAGACGCCTAAGGAATTATGTCTTTTAAAGATGAAAACCAGGGTGTGGGTGAATGCAAGATAAGAGGCCAAAGAGCTACACTCACACACATTCTCATGTTGTTGTTAGTAATACATGATTCATCGACTTGATTTGTACTGTTATATGTAACTTGTTTTTAGATGATTTTTTTGTCATATGTATATAACTGAAATCTGAAATCTGAAAATGATAGAAGCAATTAAACATCTTTTTAACAAAATTTCATATGACAAAATATCGACAAACTATTCATACTTACTGGCAAACTTCAATAGTTGTCAGTTACAAATAGTACAATATATATATCACTTTCGAATAAAAAACCAATTCCAACTCGTTCCCATAGTTTATGACTTGTCTCCGGTAAACCATCATTTGAATGAATACTATTCAATAGAGTTAATAATTGATTTGTATTTACTTTATCAAAATTAGCACCACAAATAAAATTAATTGAGGGTGGGTGTGGTCCTTCATTACTCGCACCCTCGTAGAACGCTCTTTAATCATATTTCGAATTCAAGGTGAATGACATTTGCTTATCCACCCACATCTAAAATATTATTCATACCTTGAAATGCATGAGAGATGAAAGCCTCAACCCTTCATATTGATTTGAGTTTTAAATTGATTTATTAAAAGTAATAGTTTATTGAGTGAAAGTCTTTTAAGATAAAAATGAAAATCAAGGTTAAATATGTAGATATATGAATAGAATAGAATAGAATGATAGAAAAAAAATGAATAAGTCATTTATTCTGGTCGAGTACAGGCAGTGAGAAAAAGACGCACATTACTTGCTGTTGGTTGAAGAGTACCTACATCAATACGAATGGTATATGAACCACTAGGTATTAGTGTATTTCCTGGTTGTACATAAGTAATTTTTTGCCATACTTGTTGAGGTGTGTTTGCTTGAGCAAGTACAACATTCTGAGGACTTTTCAGTTTGAGTGACATTTGATTACGAACAGTTTGTGCACTGGCTTCTGGCCACCATACAACTACATCCATTCTTTTCGATCCATAGGAGTCGCTTGCCGAATCAGTAACAAAGTTGTTTTCGATATACTGATTAGCAGATAATATTTGCCACATGAATGTACATTGTCGTCAACCAAGTGAAATAAGACCTGCTCCAGTAGTATTTGTTACTTGTAAACCATTTGCTAATGTTAAAATCCATGAATAGATTAGACAAGGCTGAGGATTGGCAACACCATAACTGATAAGTTCTTTCTTGAGCATATATATTCAGCACCGGTGACTATTCGTATTGAAATTGATGTTCCATCGACTGTCTAGAAGCCACTGTTTGTTCCATTGTTATTTATTGGACACCAATTTCCTGCACCACCACATCCATTGTAGGCAGTATAAAGACCAGATGGAGCTTGGAGTTCAGGCTTGATTCGACCATCAGAAGTTGGTCCCGAGGCTTGGTACGAAGCTGTATATGTTAAGTTGAGTAAATCTACCACTCCGACAGTCAAAACTTTGCTAGAATGTGCTGGTGCTTTTTGTTGACCTTGAGTAGCATCATTGCCCGATGCAACAAAGATGATAGCGCCTAAATCATAGGGCAGCATCAGCTGCATAGGTAATGTCGCACACCGATTGATCGAGACAGTTAGTATAAAGTGACAAATTGATCATTCGATCTCCATTAGCTAAAGCTGCTTGAATAGCAGTAACAGCCCATGTGCTGTACAAGGAATATGTACAGGTTGAACTACCCGATGAGTGCACTGTCTGAAAGACTTTATAAGAATTAATACAAGCTGGTGAAATTCCATGTAGCGAATCTCCAGCTTTCGAATTGACTAAAATAACACTGGCTACCGCAGTTCCATGAGAGGCACAATCATCGTCAGCATCATACAGTGTCGGGTTTACATTAGTATCTGCACATGAAGGACCACCATAGACACAATCAACTGTACGATTGATTCTATTTGGTGAGTTGAATATGGTATGAGTTTTTCGTACACCTGTATCAATTAATGCTATACATTCTTCAGAATTGGTTAGAGAAGATTGAGCATTGTAGAGCCAGTCACTACCAATAGCTTGACGTGCTACACTTATATCTTGTAATCCCCATATACCACCTTCTTCATGACCAGGATGAAGAAGAATGTAATGATGTTGCTGTTCACGTGCATATCGTTTGATGTCTTTTACTAGCATGTTTACATACATGGAATTGGTTAGCCAAAACTCTTCTAATATTTCAGCTCCATAGTCAGCAATGAGTGTCTGACGTCGTTCGGCATTCATTGGTTCTCGATGAGTGTTGAGCGCCGAAATGTAGTTTGAGAATTTGCCGAATGTTGAGTAATGATTATTGAATGGTTCGTACTCGCGAAAAAGTATGTGCACCTTAGTATGAGTATTATCATTATTGAAGTTATCAAAGAGCTTTTGAATAGCCGAATGTATCCGCGGCTGGTGAACGAAAACTATACGAAATCAATTCATATTAATAAAAATCATCGTATAAAGATTTAGTACAACTATCCGGTTGTTCTCTTTTTTGTCGACGACTTCGTTTCTGATCTATGGGTCGGGATGCTGGACTCTTGTAAGTAACTTTGCCAATATGTTTCAACATAGTTTGTTCATTGGCAGCTGCAGTTTCTCCACCACTGCGTACTAGATGTTCAGAAGGATCTGGATTGTTAACGAGAATTTGACCATTGTCAGGAGAGAATTGAGCGTAGATGTTAGACAAAAGAACAAATAATACGAAACAAGTTATTGTTGCTTGCATAATCATACCGAAACTTGCATGCAGTATATGGCGTTTTTCTCAAGGGGGAAACAGCTGATTATTTGATTAGAGGTGATTAGCAGTGATTAATAGTGATTAATAGTGATTAGCAGTGATTAATAGTGATTAGCAGTGATTAATAGTGATTAATAGTGATTAGCGGTGATTAGGGTTGATTAGAATTGATTAGTAGTGATTAGGATTGATTAACAGTGATTAGGGGTGATTAGCAGTGATTATGAGTAATTGGAGTTGATCAGAGAAAGGAATCAAAGTCGTATATTATTTTATGTATCTATACTTCTTTTTTTGCGTTGTATACACAAAAGGAAACTGTTTTAAGCCATTTAGTAGACTATGTTGCCATAAGATATCATTACCTATCTTAATTTTCTCGAAGCTTTTGAATTAACTCTTTTTGTATTGTTTTTCAATCTATGGATATAGAGAAAAAGCAACACGAACTATCAACAAATACATATATATCTAATCTCAAGAAAACGTTTACACAAAGAAAAGGAAACAATCTATCTTTTTTTTTGTTTGAATAATTCGTGATAGCTTTGAGGGTGGGTGTGTGTGAGACTGTACGAAGGTTATAAGATGATAGACAAGCACACCCACACCCTACATTAAATCCGATTTCATAATTTTAATTAATTACATTCGATTATCTTATACTAAACCAGACTGAGATTTCAAAATCGACTAAAATTTGAGAAATCGATTAAAATTTAAACTAAACTAAATCTGATTTGGGGATTATCGATTGATTGTCGAGTAGTGAATGACAGAACAGGATTATGGGTGATCAGTTGATTGGTTTTAAGTACTTTTCTTATATAATATTATGATTTCCAAATACCTATTAAATTCACAGTGACTGAAGAGACAACAACACTCTTGGGTACATGCTAGTCTGATTGTTTAGACGGATATCTTATATTAATATACTTTTACATAGGACCATTGGAGAATATTACTTTTTCGTATAGTTAAGTAAATAGTAATTGATTAAAACTGATTTTTCCATTGAGTTTAGGTTAGTTGAATATCATATGTTCATATATTTTAACACTTTCACTCCTCGGTGCATCATATGCGATGCACGATACTTTGGACTGAGACGTCCCGTGCATCACATATGATGCATGCGCTGCATATTATTTTTGAAGCTAGAATTTGTTAAACGCAACTAGGTGACTGCATTTAGACTATTGGAATGTATCGGTACGATGTAAAGAAATATTCTAGTTTTAAGTTGAATCACATACGATGCACTGGGCATAATAAAATCCTGAAAAATATAGCGCTTTGCTTTTATTTCTGGAATGTTTGGTACTTCCTAGCTCGTTTATGTATATAATCATCGTTTCTCCAATAAAGTTAGTTCAGTGTTATTCTAGGAGAGACAATTGAATCATACGTGTTGCATGAAAAAAAACATCGAACATATGTTTAAACCTTATTTTTGTGGTATATAAAAGTAATACACTTCAAAAATAATATATTTTAAAATTAAGAAAAAGATAAAAAATGGACGTAGGACAAATACTCATTTTTTTTTGTATGGGGATAGTGAAAGTGTTAATATAGAATTATTCGACTATAACATATAGCTCTACAGTTAGTTAAAAGGCAATTAATTAAAAATTGATTTGATACTCTTCTCAGAACCCTTCTTCATATAAGGAAACATCTGTATTGAGATTCTCACGCTCATACAGAACATCCAGATTAGGTGTAGGTCATCGTGACTTAAGATATTTCGCAATTCGTATTCAGTAGCTAAGATTATATGGAATGGTACCCTTGACTTTTTTCATATACTATACTCTGAAAAAAATAAAGGAGCTTTCGCGAATCGCGAACCCCGGCAAAACGTTCTGTGGAAGACCAAAAGCTTACATTTGTGTCATAAGTTCCAAAAAAGCGAACTTCAAATCGACAGAACCATCAATGGTTCTGAATTGTATCCCCGAGCCGAACCCTCCTTTAGATAACCTTTTTTTGAGTTCCATAAAGCAAAAAAGGGTTCCGTAGAAAAGTCCGAGAATTTCGAAGGTTTATATTAAATCCTGCAAAACCATTATGGTTCGGTACGGAACTCTGATGGTTTTATACTGAATTCCAATGGTTTCACACTGAACCATGATGGCTTGCAGGACATAATATAAACCTTCGAAAGTCTCGAATCTTTCTATAAAACCCTTTTTTGCTTTACGCAACTCAAAAAAAAAGGTTCTGTAGAAGGGGGTTCGGCCCGGGGAATACAATTCAGAATCATTGACGATTCTGTCGATTTTGATGTTCGTTTTTTTTAAACTTATGACACAAATGGAAGCTTTTGGTCTTCCACAGAATCTTTTGTGGGGTTCGGGAAAGCTCCTTTATTTTTTTCAGAGTAGAAGTTAGTGGAAGTCTTTTTCACGTATCACTTATGGAAGGTTAGGTAATTAATATGATCCAGTTAAAATTTTATTATATACAATTTTTTGATTGGTCAAAAACTATAGGTTTACTTTCAAAGTATATTATATCTTGACAGTGAAGCATTTGTATATAATAAAACGTTGAGTGGGTCATATTAATTAGCTTACATTCCACAAATGATACGTGAAAAAGACTTTCCGTAACTTCTATAGTATATTAAAAATGTCAAGGGTACCATTCCATATAAGCTTAGCTACTGAAGACGAATTGCGGAATATCGTAAGTCACGATAACCTACACCTAATCTGCATATTCTGTTTGAGCATGAGAATCTCAATACATATGCTTCTTTATACAAAGAAGAGTTTCGAGATGAATAATCACATCAGTTTTTTGTTCAACGGAATTGAATAAGCTAGGAATTAAAATTTTGATTAAAATCAAGCAAAAGTTGAGTTTTTATGTTGATTGAAATCGATTAGAAATTAGTCTTAATCACGATTATTAATTAGATTTTTCTGCAAAAAAATCGAAATTATAATTAGTTATAATCGGATTTTTCGTTAATTTTAATCGAACAAAAATTGATTATAATTTGATTGCAATCGATTATAATTCGATTTTAATCAGCAAATAACTGGATTTCAATCGATTTTAGTTTTGATTTTGTTGCAGAAAAATCAGATTTGTGATTATGATTATTTTTATAGGATTTTGAAATTTTAATTAATTTTAATCAAGTAAATTTTTCACTAGGAAGCTTGAATATTTATTAGATAAATAGTTCTATGAAAAGTGTTTTCGTATTAACAATATATTGGTATACATATTTAAACAGAAGAAACTTCTGTTTGATGAAGAATCTCTTTTATAATATTATCCATTATACTGAACTAAGACTGATTAGCAGTGATTAATAGTGATTAATAATGATTAATAGTGATTAATAATGATTAATAGTGATTAATAATGATTAATAGTGATTAATAATGATTAATAGTGATTAATAATGATTAATAGTGATTAGGAGTGATTAGGATTGATTAAGGGTGATTATGAATGATTAAGGATGATTATAGATGATTAGGGATGATTAAGGGTGATTATGAGTGATTAGGGATGATTAAGAGTGATTAGCGATTTCCTAATCAGCTGTTTCCCCCTTGGTTTTTCTTCTCATCATTCATCTGTATTTATAGCAGCTTGTGATAATATTATGCGTCATAGTTTCTACGTGATTATCATCAAAACATAATTAATCCATTCAATATTGATTTTAAATGGAGTGGGTGTGGGTGTGGGTGAGTCTGTATGGGCTATAGTTACGAGTAGAGACATCCACACCCACAGCCTTTTGGTGAAATACAATGTAATCGTAGGTAATTACTTGGTAATCTTTATGAATTACATAGTAATCTTGCAAGATTACATGATTTTTATGCGAATTACATAAGCAATTGTGGGGAATGAAAAGAAAGAGGTACTGAAATCATATGATTTGAGACAGCTGGGCTTCGAAAACTAGAAAATTGTGTTAAATTTAACGATCATATTTGCGTGGTTAAAGCAATTATCACCGAATGTTTTATTAATATACTGGTATCCAATGAAAAACAGTCGAATCCTTCCCGACATAATCCGAGTCGGAATCCGTTTGTTAGGATTTTGGCATAATCCGGACCGGATTCTATCGGATTTTCCTGAGTTTCCTGCTAATTCCTGATGTATTTCGACATCGTATCCAATAGTTTTCGGTCGGAATGAATCACCTGAGATATTAATTGTTGCCGTTGCTCTTCTCTTCAGTACACTTGCTTTTTTTGATATTTTATTTAAGAACTCGGACATTGATCTGGACATATTTCTTCTAAAAATATTGCTTTTTCTATGAGCTAGATAAATGTTTCTCGGCAATGCCATCATGAGATTATTCAATAAAGAACTATTAACTCTCATCAACACTTATATTTAAAATAAATAAGTTTAATTATTGTTATCACTGTTGCATAGTGGTATTGTAGTGTGTATCAGAATATCTACATCCACCCTCAAGTTTATTAATTAAATGAAAGATAAAATACAACTTCGTTATACAAAATCGTGTCTCTTTTTGGTTGAAGATCGATCTATTTACATGATAATAAAGATATTGTACAAATATAATGTTGTTTCAATGTGAAGGACAATAACGTATCATTTCAGCAACAGTACATAGAGTTTCACAACAAGCTTCAGTAAGCAATTTTCGTCGTAAAGATTTACGAACACGTCGTTTACTTGGCACTTTATGTTTTTCATTTTGAATAACATCACAAGCAATACTAACCATTTGTAACAAATACATAACACATGCATTATAAGCTCGTTGAAGTGCACAATCTTCCACTTTGTAAAGTTTTCCTTTTTTTTCGATAACTTGATCTTCTTCTAATAAATGTCCATCATATTCTACAGTGCAATTATCATTAGGAGAAGGTAAAATCGTTTCACTATGGACATTTTCAAGAAATGAAATCAATACGAATAATAAATAGTTGAAAAAGAACATCATCATAATGATCAATGGGCGTGAAATCTAAAAAGAAAAGAATAGAACTTATATAGAAAAAGTATTAGCAAATGAAGAAAAGTAGAGATAATTTTTCTCTTAGCTTCACCTCACAACCACTTTAGTTATATCGTTTCGCTTCGAAAATAATTCAAGCTATTAACACTTAGTTAATAAGCGCAAATTTACTTACCTAGGGAAAGGTTGGGATAGCACTATTAACGTGCATATATATATATATATATATATATATATATAGTGTCCTGTAAGCTTAGGAAAACGGAAAACATGAGTTATAAATTATATATATAATTAACATACAATATTTTCCTGGATTTACAGAATCATGTCGATCCATATATGACTCATAAACTCTATCTAACTTAATCTTTTTCTGTTTTTCTCAAGTCACACACTATTCTATATTTAACGTATGATTTGTGACTCATATCGAAGTAAAACTTTATCTTTTCCTTTTCCTTTTTCTCGTCAGACTCTCAGAAACATACCAATCCATATGCGGTTTATAAATTATATAGAAATGCAAGTATGATTTAGTGACTATATCAAAGTAAAATCTGATTTTCTCATTTGTTGTATGATTTATGGTTAATTTCTTCATATTTTTTAAGTTATTTTTGATTTAATATTATAGAGTGGATATAAATATGATAGACATCAATATTCGTACGACGTACAAGTTTTCTTGCAATCAGTTCGGCACACTCGATACTCTGATAATCAAAAGGGGAATAGTGAGCTTTTGGACTTCAAATTATTTTGAGCTACTTCAAGTCTGCTGTTTCTTTCGTTATACTGATAATATGCATCACAATGACAATAACTTTCATTTGAAGTTTCATTTAAACATTGAATAGACATGTTTAGTGTATAGTATTGCAAATTAATAGATAGTTGTATCGTCGTCTCAAAAGCCGCCATGGTTGAGTGGTTACGTTGTTCGACACGTATCCACAAGGTACTGTGTTCAAACCTCAGTAACATCATCCATGGAATGACCCTGGACAAGTCACTAACGGCTAAGTTGTCTCAAATGACTCATTCCACATGAGTCATTCATACTGGTTATCTTTAGTCAGTATGTTGGACGGAAGAGGGTGCAGATACCGCCGTCTGTAAAAAGAAAAAGACGACAGAACCCGGTTGCATGTGGAAAACTCTAATAATAACCGCGGCCGGCCCCTAAGGGCGATAAGCCTATGGGACGTTATTATTATTATTATATTATATCGTCGTCTGTTCCCCATAAAGAAGGGTGAATACTATGCACTTATGCAATACATTATTTGTAAATGTTTGTTTACGAGATTTATTGACCTTATCCAGGAGTTTCTCTCGACTGTGTCTGTTTGTGGTTTGCATATCATTTATAAAAGTGAAAAAGAAGAAGTTCCTTTTTTTTATTCGAAAACAAGAATAAATACCTGCACTACAAGCAAAAAAACAATTCTTTTCTTTATCTGCGCGCTGACAACTACTGCTTCGTTATTTTTTCTTATATCTCTCGCGATAACTATCGAAACTCCAGGCATCAACTTTTATTCAGAAAACACAAGCAACTTCATTGGCGTGAGCTCTTCTGCATCGACAGGTGAAACTGATTCAGACTCGGCAGTTAGTAATAAATGTTACAGCAATCATCCTTCTAAATGAATATGACAGATTCGTGGTTATCTCAATCTTTGATAAAAACGCAAAAGATATAATAGAGTTCATTTCTTTGAATGATTGAAGTACAGCTATTATCTTTTCAGATAAAGATAAATCGAAACTTTGGAGCCATATTGAATTTAAATAAGGAGTTTTTTCGTTGTTTTTTGATAGTAAATATTGTATAATTTCTACGAAACAACCTTTAGTCATAGATATTGTAAGATGCTGTAATTGTGGAAAAAGATTCACTAAGAATTTCATATCTTCAAACACACATTGTATTACAATTGTGACATCTTTTATTTTGTTGTGAAAAGTTTCAACTTCTTTTAATAAGCCAAAATCTTTTCGAAACTTAGATCCACGAAAGCATAACTTATGAATATTGGGTAAAGATGTAATTAGTTACATGAAATCTTTGAAATAAGAATTACATAAAAAAATGTTTAGTTCAGTAATTTGTTCCAAAGGAAAGATACGACTAAGAATATTTGGCGAAATATAGTTTTTTTCTTCATAAGGATACTTTTTAAAAGTAAGTTGAGTAACATTTGGAAAACAATTTGTCGAATTAAGGATGCAATTTTCATCAGTTCTAAATCCCATGTAAATTGTCTTCCTATAATTCAAAAGAAAAAAATATCTTCAATATGTGAATATATGGATCAGTTGAATAGAAATATATTTGAATTCCTCTTTCGAACGAGATACTGGTTACACGTATTCATACGTTCTTCACGATAAAAGGTCAACAAGGTCAATTTAAAAAATAAACAAAACATAAGACAAATCCAAACCTAGGTTCAACAAGTGCACATCAAGAATAATTATTTAATTAAAAGATTATCAATTTAATTAATAAATTATCAATTTAACGTATGCCGCCTAAAAGAGGCGGAGGTAATCGGGGTGGTGGTAGGAAAAACACCCACCAAAGAACAACGATCACCACTCAAACGCAAATACAAAATGTTTCCAAACCACAAATGTCAGATCAAAATCAAGACAACATGAAACAGCGATTTGAAATTGCACCATTAATAGTAGAATCAGAAAATCTAACGAAGGTGCAACTAAATAAGCTTATCAAAGATCATCTACCAGAAGTAAAAATATCAAATATACAGCAAAGCAGACAAAAATCATTTACATTATACTCAATTGATGTAAAATCATTTAATTGCTTACTGAATGATCTCACCGCTATTATTCAAACAAATACAAATCAACAAGTAGTAATTTATATTCCAAAATCCATACAAAGAATATTAGATAACAATAAAGAAGCATATGTAAAACAAATAGATCTAGAAATAACAGAAGATGAAATCAAGCAAGTACTTGAAGAACAAGGTTATAAAGCTGAGAAGATTACACGTCTAGTTAATAAAGACAATGAACCTTTAAAAACAATTAAAATTACGTTTATTAATGCATATAATAGAGATCTCTTCGTCAAACTTGGTCTTCAAATAGACTCAATGCACTTCAGTGCAGAACCAGCGAAATACAACAATAAGCCCGCACAATGCTTTAAATGTTTCAAATTTGGACACATTGCAAAATATTGCAAAGCAGAAAAACAAATATGTTCTAGATGTGCAGAAGAAAATCATACACATATTAATTGTCCGAATCTTCAGGGAAGTCCTGTATGCAGAAATTGTAAAGGTGGTCATACTGCTACATCTACCGAATGTTCAAAATATAAAGAATTCCAACAAAAAATACAGAAAACAATCGATCAATATTCCTCAACTTCAAAAGTAGCAAGAACACCAGCACCAAATAATAATTGGAATAATCTGGAAGAATTTCCGCAACTCAAATCTATCGATAATATAAATTTAATTGAAAAAATTACCGAACAAATCATTTCAGCAGTTGAACAAGCAACTCAAAGAATTTTTGAAACTCTGAATAAAAAATTTCAAACACTGGCTAACAAACTAGGATTTGATATTGAAATAGATGCTGAAGCAGAATTAGAAGAAACTGTACGTATTAAAAACAATATAAATAAAAATTTAGGACAAACATCACCACGAAATGAATTATATGAAACAAACAATAATCAAAATGAAACTCCTGGAATTGGGATCAAACGAAAGGATATTTCACCAAATATTTTGTCCCAAAAGTCGAAAAACTTAAATACAAATCAATCATTATAGTTAAAACAGAAAAAAAAAAAAATCTAAGAATGTTAAAAATAATGCATATTAATGTCACTTCGATTAAAAAACATACGGACGAGATATTAGCTAGATTTAATAAATATGATATTTGGTCAATAAACGAAACAAACTTAAAACCACATCAACTTTTCTCATTGCAAGGATTTAATATTTTTCGAAACGATCGGCAAAACAAACAAGGTGGCGGTGTTCTACTAGCTGTACGAAAAAATATTGAATGTTTCGAAATTCTTAATGCTACAATTGAAACTAATGAAGCTGTTGCAGTACAAATAGAAACATCATTAGGTCAACTACTCATAGCAACAGTGTATATTCCACCAGCGGGAAAAATTCAACAAAAATTATTTGATGAGCTTTACCAATTGAACAATAACTGTCTGATATTAGGTGATTTAAATGCAGCTTTAGAAGAAAAAGGATCACGAAAAACAAACGCAAAAGGTGTTCAATTAAAACAAATTTTAGAAGAAGGTTATTTACAATGTATTGATAATAATCTTACTACGTATGCTAGAAATAATTACGAAGAAAAGATAGACTGGATACTTGCTACTCAACCTACGATCCTATTCATTGATGAAGTTGAAACGCATGCTCCTTTAGGATGCAAAGAAGATCATAAACCAATAACTTTTAATTTATCAATGACTGCTGATCTAAAACCAAAATCTCCTCGACTTACTTTCAATTTCAATTTAGCAAATTGGAATTTGTATCGTAAAAAATTAAATGAATATTTAAACAAAATAGATTTAAAACAAAAATTAGAAACAAAAGAACACATTGATACATATACTGTTGCACTCACCAATTGTATAGCTCTAGCAATGAAAGAAGCAATCCCTTTAGCAAATGGAAAAATCAGAAACAACAACGTGTCGGAAGTAACAAAGAAACTCATAGAAGAAAAACACAAAGTATATAGGAAATGGAGAAAAACAACAAACGAAATAGACAAAAAACATTATTATAAAATTAGAGAATTAGTATCTAATTCAATAAGAAACGATCGAATAGAAAAACTAACAGCAATTATGTCAACGTTAAGTGCAAAGAAAATGCAATCTGCTGGAGTCTGGAATACAGTAAAAAAATTCCATAATAAAAGAACAAAACAATCTTATTCAGGACAACTTATATATCAAAATACAACAGCAAATAATGATCAAGAAAAAGCTAATGTATTTGCAAGATATTTTGAAAATGAAATATTCGTAAGCAAACCTGATGAAACACCATTTCACAATCAGGTTAATACACGAGCTGCATCGATCAAAAGAAAGATGAAAATGGAAACAAGCTCAAGAGAAAACAAATTCTCACCAATAACAGAAAATGAAATTAAATGTATTTTAAAACAACTTCCAAATAGTGCACCGGGTCCTGATGCAATACACAATAGATCTTTAAAAAACTATACCAAGTTACTTGTAATTCATCTAGCAAAGATTTTTAATGCAATAGTTGGTATGGGACACATTCCACAAGAATGGAAAAAAGCCAACATCATATTACTACTCAAACCAAAAAAAGAAAAGAAAGTTCCATCAAGTTATCGCCCGATAAGCCTACTCAGCTGTCTCGGTAAAGTCTTAGAAAAGATTATCAAACAAAGATTAACCAAAGAATTAGATGAAAGAAGAATTCTTCCGAGTCATCAATCAGGTTTTAGGGCCAAAAGAAGTACAATGTACAACATAATTAGATTGGAAAGGTTTGCATATGAAAATTTGAAAAAGAAACAACATGCGGCAGTAATATTCTTCGATATAAAAGCCGCTTTTGACTCGGTGTGGCACAATGCATTGATTTATAAATTGTACGATCTTCGGCTGCCATTTTATTTGCTACGATATATCATCTCGTTCTTAGATCAACGTACAGCTTCAGTAGAAATTGAAAGTACTCTTTCAAGATCCTTTGCCTTAAAAAGCGGAACACCGCAAGGCTCACCACTTTCGCCATTACTTTACATATTATACACATACGATTCAATGAATAATATAGAGGATCACACACAATATGGTTTATTTGCGGACGATACAGCATTATGGGCCGGATCTAATACAATAAAAAGTCTAAGACGAAGACTACAAACATCAGCAAATGAATTCAATAGGTGGTGTAATATATGGAAGCTACAAATTCAACCGGTTAAAACGGAAATGGTATATTTTAGCCCTCATCCGAGGAAAAAGTACAAGAATAAAATGTCAATAATAGTAGAAGAAATAGAAATAAAACCGGAAAAATCTGCAAGATATCTTGGTGTAATTTTTGACCATCAACTCAAATGGCAAAGTCACATTCAACATATAGAAGAAAAAACTGCAACACGAATAAGTCTACTAAGATATCTATCAAAGTTAAATCCTCATGCAAATGAGCAAATAATGATTAATCTATATAAATCCTTAGTTAGATCAATTATAACCTATGGTTGCACAATTCTACTTAAAACAGATAATTCAATATGGAAGAGGATGCAAATACTACAAAATAAAGCCTTACGAGCAGCATTAGGACTTCCAATGTATACATCAACAGAATTTATCCATCTGAGAACCAAAATTCCAATGATTAAAAATTATGCAAAAGAAATATTAAACAAAGCAATATCTCGAGCAGAAACTTATCAAGATAATACAACAACTGAAAACTTAAAGAGAATACTATCAATTCTACAGTACAATGAAAACTAGTCAATGAATCAACAGAGAGCAAAAGACAAATGTCAAGAGCTCTTTAAAACAACCCCTCTTTCTTTCCTTACGTCCATATATCTGTGGTACTCTTGTTCCCTTTTCTTTTTTCCATGTCCCTTCCTTGATCCATACACTGTAGATTTATTATTATTATGAATAAATCGTTGATACCGAAAAATATATTTGACAATATTCTCCCATCATTTTCATATGATAAGCAAAAAACCATTGTCGTTCGATCCAAAACGAAGATCCAAATTGATCAATAAGATTTGTATATATCTCATCATCTACTCTGCTTGTGTATACATGATAATCAATATTAAATATTTGTAACTACGGCATATATAATAGAATAAGTGATTCCCGTCGTTTTGCATTTAAATATGTTTGATCGGCCGGTGTAGAAATATATAAAACTTGAACTTGACGAAAAATATTTTTAGTCAACATTTCCAAGATTTAAAGAAACATGTATTAATTGTTGTGAAACTATTGAACAAATATTTGGTTGTATGTAATCGATAAATGACGAAATTGAGGAACTTATGAAAGGAGAGCAGATAATTCACAAAGAACGATTGTATCTTCGATAATGAGATGTGTAATTGGACTAAATCTATTTGTTAAAATTCTATCGGAACCTTCGCGAGATACGTCTTCAAATATTTTGCATGGATTTAATGATAATTTACAATATTTTAATGCAGATAATCGAAATATTTGTTTATAAAGATTATTTCGATTTGAAACGTAATGATGTTTACACATAATGACTAATATTGAAAGATTAGGTAAGAGTAATAAATCATTGTGAAGATTTTCAAGATATTTTGATTCAATGTCTTCAATAATAAATGTTTGAAGATGAATACATTTTTGAATAAGAGGATTAGATAATAGAAAGAAATCAATAATAAATGGATTCGATAAATAAAGTACTTGAATTTTATGTTGATATGGAAGAATTATATTTTCATAGGCAGATTTAAATATTGATTTGGATAATGATGAAAAATTGATTTTAATCGGATGTAGTGAATTGATAAATAGATTTTGAAAACGTTGATTAAGATTAAAAAAATTTCATAACTAGAAATATGATCGAAATATTCGAAAAATTTCATAGAAAAGTTCATTAGCAAGATCTGCGAAACAAGTAACGATATGTAAGGAACTAAAATATAAACATTTCAATCTTAAAATGACAAAAATAAAATGAAGCTGATTGAATTGATCGATGATGTGACTATCAAAAATAAATATATACAATACATTTAGTGAAAAACTTAATATTACTTGGCGATTTTTGTTCCATATTAAACCTAAAAGGAAGGGAGTGTTGTAAAAGCCAATAAAAATACTTCCAATTTCGAAAGTAAAAGCAAGCACGTGTTCTGTTCTCTTTCTCAATGCGCAGCTTAGGCAACAAAAAAATAACTATATATTATATATGACTCCTATAGAAAGTAAAGAAAGAAAACAAAATATGAATATTAGAGCTGAGGGTATGGGTGCCGATATAATAAGCAAACATTATGGATATCTACACCCACACACTCTAAAAAAAATAGGTTTTCTATCGAACTTATAAGGTTTCTTATTGTTCCACCGAACGATTTTAACCCTTAAAAGCCGTATGTCCCTTTCAATGGACATTGCCTTAAACGCTATAGAACGAAGGAATAAAGTCTTTTCTGCAAAAGCTACTGTTTTTAGGGACGAAGACAGTCATAATGAAAGTATGATGGAACAACATTATGCTAAAACAGTTGTCAAACGCCCAAACCTAGCTCTTAGAATGTATAATTTTTCAAGCAAAATTGGCTACTCGGATATTGAGGGTGTGGGTGTGAGTGTGGGTGTGGGTGTGGGTGTGAGTGTGGGTGTGGGTGTGAGTGTGGGTGTGAGTGTGGGTGTGGGTGTGAGTGTGGGTGTGGGTGTGGGTGTGGGTGTGGGTGTGGGTGGGTTTGGGTGTGGGTGTGGGTGTGGGTGTGGGTGTGGGTGTGGGTGAAAGTTAATTGTTGGTAGATACACACGCACACTCTACCTCCGCCCTAAACCCACGAAAAGTGGTATACTTTCTTTTCTTTTTAAATTATTTGTCATGAAAAAGTATATTTCTTGTCATGAAGTTCAACAAACTAATCGTCGTTTAACCTATGAAATAAAATAACAAAGAACGATAATAAATATCTATAATTGAAATGTTAACGTAAACTATCTTTACGCCAAACTTTAACAAGGCGTGCAGCCCATGGGCTAGGCTGCTTTTTGAAGAAAACTCATGAATGAGCTGGACCGCAGCTATATGATCCATGGGCTTACTTTCTTAGTCACAGCCCAGCCCATCAGTTTATCGGGCCCAAAAACGTTCTACCGATTCAAAAATAACTGCATCTGGGCGATAATCCAAGATGATGCTCTTATTTAATTTCAATTTAGCGCCACCGAAGATAGAAACCCTTTTTACATATTTAAAATGCCGCCTGAAATAATCTGCGAGGAAGTAACCGGAAAAAGAATCGCCTAGAAATAGTATTTTTGCTTTTTTTATGCCTATGTTGTTATAGTAAGTGGCGTTATATTTCGAGATAAGTTGATGTTCTAGAACATGAGATACATCCATATTAGCCATCACGGCCAAGTCCCCTATACGCTTAACTCTTCGATTCACAACGAAATCCTCTCGGTGATGAGGTATGAACTGAGGATTGGTGACTAGTAACCGTTTTATTATTTCCTCATAAGCAAAAAACGCTCCAATGTTGTTCCAATGAGCATCCGTCTTAAAGTATAAATCAAGGTGGTGCACTTTCTTTGCCATGATTAATATTTGTCTTATATCGATCAGCTCGAGCGTTGAACGTAGTTTCATATGTTCAAAAATCTGTGCTTGCCTACTCGGACCAATCTTTGTGCTAAAACGCCACGGTAGGTACTCTGGATAGATTGAATGCTTCTCAGGAACTGGAAGAATTAAGAAGGTAATATTCCGCTTAGTAAACCATATATCTTCGGCTTCCAAATTTTTTTGTATGCTCATTAGTTGATCTAACGAGTAAGGATTATATCCTTGCCAACCAGCAAGTCCTCTTGGGTCAGCTGGACCTTGTAAATTAACAAACAACCAATCATGCTTACCGATAATGACCTTTTTAACGCCCGATATTCCAAAAAGTTTGACATTTAAGGTAGTGTGTGCTGCCACCAATTGAAGACGAAATCCGAAGTGATCATTGTAGAACAAGTCAAACTTCTTAGTGTATTCATTTATCTTTCGTATATTGAGCACCGGTTGATCGGCAAGTGTTCGCTTTTCTGTTGACGCAAAATCAGGAATAATTAGAAGCTGTCTATTAATCTCAGGGAGTGAGATAAACAGGGCAAAAATAATAACAATTATCCATTCCCGCATTCTTTGTTGCCGATAATTATACATATCCATCTTAGGGAGAAATGACCGGTATTTTATGATTTTTAATCAAAAAACAATTCAATAAAAAAATGTCAGTTAAGTCAAAGAAAAACACATGTTTTCAGCTCTTTTTACTGAATAAAAGAAGAAACTAGGGGTGCAACAAATCGAAAGCCTTGGATTTGGTTTACTGCATTTGGACTTGGGTTTCGGTTTGATTTCTAGATTTGGATATGGGTTTGAATTTGCTCTCTAGATTTAGATTTGGGTTTGGATTTGTTCTCTAGACTTGGGCTTGAATTTGAAATTGTTCACTAGATTTGGATTTGGATTTGGTCTCCGGATTTGGATTTGGGCTTGGGCTTGAATAGCAAATATCTCAAGCGTGGGTGACTCTAAGACTAGGTGGATGAAAACGTCTGAACCGGCGTGATGCCGTATCTGAAGGTGTGAATTACGTTGAAGATGTGGGTGAAGCTGCAAGCAACGATAAAGGTGTCGGTGGGAGTGTGAATAAGGATATTTTCTTCTTTATCTTCTATCCACATCTAAATGAACACTCTTTAGATCGATTAGATGTTACCTTCCGCCAAATATTAGAACCACTCACGCTCGAGATATCTGCTATTCAAGCCCAAGCCCAAATCCAAATCCGGAGAACAAATCCAAATCCAAATCTAATGAACAATTTCAAATCCAAGCCCGAGTCTAGAGAACAAATCCAAACCCAAATCTAAATCTAGAAACCAAACCCAAACCCAGGTCCAAATCCAAAGAATTGGGTACCAAATCCAAATCTTCAGTAGAATTTGTTGCACCCCTAGAAGAAACAGCTAATATCTAGTTTTCTTTTAAATTAACAGTACCGCTTTTGATTAAATCGATTTTTTTGATTCAAAGCTGACACAAAATCAAAAGAACCAAGTGTTAACTCTGTATTTTGTAATCAGAAAACTCTAAGACGCCTATAAGTTTCAGTAATATTTTTGACCGAAGAGCGAAACATGTGTAGGTTTGTAGAGAATTTTTTTCTCTATCGAATGGTATATTTGTTGTTGAATTCTATTGTGGTTCAGTGAAGTGAGCTCCACACGACGTAAACTCCAAATCCATGTATAAGACCATCCAAACTTTCTGCAGTCCATATTTTACCAAAAAGTCGAAAAAACTCAAAAACGTTTAAAAAACCCAAAAAACCTAAAAAAACTGAAAAAACCCAAAAACCTAGAAAAAATCTAAAAACCTCGAAAACCTTAGAAAACTTAAAAAATTTAAAACGTCAAAGAGCTTTCTCGAAAAACTCAAAAAAGTTGGAACACTCTGAAAAGGTTAAAAATTTGAAAAAATTTTTTATCGTACTGAATATTCTTGTAATTGTATTTGGAAATGTATTTTAATTGAAATCTACTAGATAAAAAATATTGAAAGAAGTTCATTCTTGTCGTGAATATAGGTCTAATTCAATCTAGAAATATGTATTTTAAATAGAAGAAACTGAGTGTGAAATATTCAAAAATGTTTTTTTCGGTTATTAAAACTGATTCAACTCGATATAGATATTGGTTTCGAATAAAACTAA